TTTTAACAGACTATTGCGCCAAGAATAGCTACAAACTCGTTGAGCGTTGCTAGGGAGACCCTTATGCCTGCGTCACTGGCCTCTTAACAGTCATCGGTGCTCTCTAATTTTATCCGGTAATAAACAGATTTTCTGATATTGAGGCCCTGGCCGCCTTCAAACTAAGGACGTCCTATGCTCATCGACACCTGCTAATTTTAATGCCTGCAACGCCATGGGTGTTCCATGTGCCGTGGAAATTCCTGTTGTTATTCGCATTTTTAGTAGGGCCGTTGAGCAAAGAAAAATACCCAATCAGTCGTCAATCACCTACTTTTACATTCCAGCTGTCTCCAGCCGTCTGGAACCCCGACTGTTCAAGGTATATGTGAACACCGAAAAATCGACATTTGTGGAAACAGCTGTTTGAACCATACGTCTTATTTACCTCAGGTCATCAGCTGTATAGTGCTGGCAGCTCCTCTTGCTTTTAAGCAGGTTCCCGGGCCTCATGAACCAAGGAGGCTTTTAGGAACGACATTAACTTCCGCATAGCTGTTAGTTCCATGGCCGTTCCAATCATCAGGCTCGTTTTCAGCCGCTCACATGCTTAACATTTCCGAGAAACAAGTCCGGCTGCCGGACTCGTGGGACGTCACGGGCACCATCCGGTTTGGTTGTTGTATCCGGCTCAGTGCAGCGGAGTTCTGGGAGCACTGAGGCAAATTAAACGGCAATCGCACCTCGTTCGTACCATAGTGAAAAAGATGGAACACGATGGTTGCACACAAAAAAACCCGCACGAAACAGATTGGATTAACCGGTTTCCCCAGTTCTGGAAATGTTACGCACTTCGGACTTCAGGACATTACAACCGGGTGCCGACACTTAAAAACTTCTAGACAAGAGGCGCAATTTTTCATTATCATAGCCCATACATCGGAGCTGCACAGAGGTACGCATCAAGGGGTACCAAAAGGCTATCCACCATTGGTGGTCATCATCAGGGAGACTGACTGAGGTTATCAGGGAGACTGAACGTCACAGCAAGCTCCTTCGTGAACCATCGTGCTGTTCTCGTGGTTGACACGACACAGACTTTCGTGAAGCTGCACATCAAAGGCACTAACACAGGCAGAGCTTTAGCTGAAAAGATCCAAAGCTGTATTGGGCGTAATTAAACAGAGTACAAAACATCCAATCCAACACATAATAATAACATTACGCTGAAAAAGTAAATTTGCCACATGTTCCACGGACAAAAAGTTGTTGCTAACCATCGCAGGGCCAGAGAAAGCGAGGTTCTGTAGTTCTAAGCCAGGTGGATTTCGATGAAACAACCACCAAAACTGCAAGGGGAGTATCCCGGTCTATATAACATTACCAAATAACTTGGAACATGCACCAATATTAAGGTATACCCTTTGCTTCAAGTTACCAAGAACCTATCGTTTGCCTTCTTCCTCATTCACGTTGCAAAGCCGGGTTTTGCGAGCCTCCCAAAAATCTCCTGCAGGCCGCGCCACCCGACATTCCGCTCGCACGCGGCGACGCCTCAGGCACGCAATCCTGGCCACCGACCCGGCTTGTAATCCAAATACGCAATTAAAAATACTTAAAGACTTGTTGACCTGCCTCACACAGAGCCCTATCTGAAGAGCGTGAAGAATATCGCTTTATTTAATTGGTGCCGGTGCCGTTGAATGTATGATCTGTTAACGTATGCATTCAGCAGCGATTTGTGCACTTGGAAATAGCGGCGCGCGAACGAGATGCATGGGCATGAATAGCCGCTGTAGCGCATCCCTGACGACAAAACTCATGCACTGTCCTCAGAACTTTCTGTAGATAAACGAGATTTAAAACTGATGTGCGTACGATGCATCGCTGATATGTTTCGCTTCGTTTGACTCATGACATTAACTCAATTGTTCAATGTCCTCGCAAAAATTAACCAGCAACTACTCTAGCACTTTTTTACCTGGCACACACTGCAAAGATGTATATTCTCTTTCACGACGGTTATGTGTAATACGATGGAATGGAAGCTACACATAGCTATACTTAAAAACGGTAACGGTCTCATTGCGTTGCTTTACACTCAAGTATGCATTGCAGTCCATGCCTACCATGACTACAAAGAACCATGCCTTCAGTTCCTGAGATCACGAATGTGAGAAGTGTTGTGAGTTTCTTCCGAAGTCGTGGGAGCGTTTCTTGTCAGAGCGTTCCTTAGTTTCCATGAAAACTGACGCCCGTTGCCACAGGCACCGAATGTCGCTTCAGCCGCTTGCTCTCATTGCAACTCCAAACGAGGTTCGCAGACCAGCCGTAAACAGGCCAAGCAGTTGTGTCAACAGGTGAGCATCGCTGCGCGTGCGAACGGCTTGCACGCCGCCAGGGTAAGGTAGTACACAAGTACTCCCAGCTTTAGGTGGGACTGAGCGGAGAATGTGCCCTGCAGACAGCATGCACACGGCTGGGAAATTACAAGGCAGAAACGCGCTGAAATGCGGTGCGTACCAAACTTGTCCGTTAAAGCATGCGCTTGGCAACGGCACTAGACAGCGCGGATCAAAAGGTTTTCAAATAGCTACACATCACTTATCTCCGTCCAACACCAACTCAGCTACATAATCGTTGTATCGAAACGCGTTTGAGCAGTATTTTCCAGGTACGGTACGTCCAGGATTTCGTTAGTCGTTAGTTTGAAAGCTGACAACCCTCACTGAGTCACTTTCTGACTTCTAAACGGCCATCAGCAATTTTCTGCTTAGCGGTTTGAGGTTCGCACAGCTCTCAGTATCACGACGCGCATTGGGTGTGACGACGCCAGCATCTGGGTAACGACTGCATTGGTGTCTCTTGACCTTATGATCGCCTGTGGGTTATCAGAACCTTTCGGCTCAGTCATCAGCGCCGTTATCAAGCTTGGGCGTGGTGGGATCAGTGCGTTAGGTGCCAAAATGTGGAAGCTTGCATGCTTGGTTATTTTGGTCTCCTTCATTGGCATTTTGCAGGTTTGAAGCCTTCCTCTTCACTCGCATGATGCCTTCTTTTAATCCCAGTCATTTAGCGAGACATTTTTTTTACTCGTGAGTATGAGGGCTGCTGAGGCGTCGAACACTTTCATGGAATGCCTAATGCTTTTTCATATTCTCCTTTATCTATGCACCTTCACCGAGACCCACCACAGGAGCTCACACGAACAGTACCTGGCCAGCTCACGTCAGCGTACCACCTACTGTCCATGGCGTTTCCGATCAGCACCTACTGCCCATGGCGTTTCCGATCAGCAACTACTGCCCATGGCGTTTCCGATCAGCAACTACTACCCATGGCGTTTCCGATCAGCAACTACTACCCATGGCGTTTCAGATCAGCACCTACTGCCCATGACGTTTCCGATCAGCACCACTGCCCATGGCGTTTCCAATCAGCACCTACTGCCGATGACGCGGTGAAACACCTACTGCCGATGACGCGGTGAAACACCTACTGCCGATGACGTGGTGAAACACCTGCTGCCGATGACGTGGTGAAACATCTACTGCCGATGACGTGGTGAAACACCTGCTGCCGATGACGTGGTGAAACACCTACCGCCGATGACATGCCACCTACATAACCGGGGTCTGCCACTAAGCGGGTGCTGAAATCTGAAAAAAAATATCCGCTGCAAGTAACCGGGAGGCACAGCTCCGCGATCCGGGAGGCACGGCTCTGCGATCCTGGAGGCCCAGCTCTGCGATCTGGGAGGCGCGGCGCTGCGATCTGGGGGGCACGGCGCTGCGATCTGGGAGGCCCGGCGCTGCGATCTGGGAGGCCCGGCGCCGCGATCTGGGAGGCCCGGCGCTGCGATCTGGGAGGCCCGGCTCTGCGATCCTGGAGGCCCAGCTCTGCGATCCGGGAGGCGCGGCTCTACGATCCGGGAGGCGCGGCGCCGCGATCTGGAAGGCTCGGCTCTGCCATCCGGGAGGCCCGGCGCTGCCATCCGGGAGGCACGTTCAGTCTCGACTTCCGCTTGATTCAAACAGCATCAACGTACTGTATTATCCGCGCGGATGTGACAATGCTCATTAGGTGAAATATGAGGGCCAGTTGCGAACCAAATATGCATATACCCACCGGCCATGTTTTGCCCACGTGATTCACATACGGCCATCAGTGTAGGCCAAGACAACTGGCAGCTGACTATCAGGGAAAATGTATTACGCAACAAGCATCCATGAAACCGAGCATTCATTTGACATGCTTGTCTCGTGCGTTCCAGCATTGCACATCACGCCGTCACCCCCACCCCTCGCTCCCAGGCTCACAGCGTTATGTAATGCCCGGGGGCGACTGTCCCCAAACGACTGCAAAACACTGGCAACCCGTCGCCTTGACACTAATCCGCCCAAAAAGAGACCGTCGAGGCGGACTGAGAACGGCACGGCAGAACAGCTGGCCACCCAGGTAAAACACGACCGTAAAACACATGGGAGGAATCGGCCAGCGGAGCGGACCCAGGCCAGGCTCGGACTGGTCCGCCTCGGGCCGGCTCGGGCGGCGGGGTCAGCTGCGGTCAGCCTATTTCGGCCGGCCGGCGGCGGCCTCCAGGGCACCGGCCGGCGGCGGCGCCGCAGGCGCGGGCCCGCAGACCGGTCGGCGACCAGAATAGGTCCGGAGGCATAGAGCCGAGCCACGTCCGGCGCCGTCAGCACGGCCGCTCGCCAGACGCGGCCGACACGGAGGCCGTCGCTCGGACCCGCCCGACAGGGCGCACCGCGTCATCACCTGAAGGTCACGCGCCACCGCCGGGCGCCACATTCGTCCAGCGTCACCGACTGCAGTCGCGCTACGCCGACCGCTGACACGATACTACACCGCCGCGCGGTGCCCGGCACGGCCGCCACAGGTTGGGTGCCTGGTCACGTGGTCCCCCGGCGGCGTACCGTCCTCTGCCGTCCCGGCTTGTCCGAGTACGCCGAGCTGAGCGTGTCTCGCTCACATACCGCATGCCTCACGTCACAGCCTCACGTCACAGCCTCACGACGCCACCCTCCGCCACGGACCGGCGCCGGATCCGGGGTCGCATGGTCGCTGGCGACGGCGCGGGCCGCCCGCGCCGCTGTTATCCGTGAAGGGCTGAGGCCGGACCGCTCAGCTGAAGCCCAGCGCGCGCTCCAGGTGTCGGGCGAAAGGCCGCGGGTCGCCGGGCGGCAGCGGCTTCAGCCGACTCAGCTCCATGTGCGCCAGCGTGTCGCCGAGCGTCTGGCAGGAGCAGTGCAACAGGTGGCCGCCGGCCGCCAGCCGCTCCGCCAGCTCCGCCTGGTGGTTGCCCATCAGGTCCGAGTTCGTCACCACCACCAGCGGCTTCTTGGCCCTCAGCGTCTCCAGACAGGTGCCGGCCCCGGCATGGCCGATCACCAGGTCCGCCGCCGCGATGTCGTCGGCTATGCTCGGCTTGGACCGAAACCACCGCACCATCACGCCCTCAGCCGTGCCGGACGTCGGCTCTGTCTCGCCGCTGCCGATCTGCAGCACCATCTCACCGTAGCCGCGAGAACTAAGCGTCCGTAGCATCTCGCTAGATGTCACTGTCCGCACCAGTTTGTCGAACTCCGTGGTGCCGACTGTTACGAACACGCGTGCCATTAGCCCACAGGGTTGAACGCCTTCCTGAGCGCCAGGTATCCCGCTACGATGTCACTCGGGAGACTCTGAATGACCTTGAACTCCTCAGCGGTGGCGTAGCGTAGCTTGGTATGAGGGTCTGTATATTTGGCCTGAGACGGGACAGGTCAAGTCAGCCAGCGAAGCCTCGCTAAACTCGGTTACACAGCTAATGCGGGGAAAATATCAAATATCACAGCACCGACACCAATATCAACAGCATGTTGAAATTTATGGAATTTCAGTAATGCTTGGAATACACCATGCACTTTGACAAATGATCGTAATCAACAGCTTGTGCACAAATTTGACCATGTCAGGAACGTTTGCATGCGTGCATAGCTGCACATGTGATAACAAAGTGTTCTTTCTCCGCAGCAAGTATTTTGCACTGACCGGCAGGCCAGATATGTCAGAGTATTTCTTGGCTGGAACGAACGACGGTGGAGCCTCCAGCCTCCAGTCTGCCAAGCGGGACAACACACCCGTCAGCCCTGTACAAAGATGATCCCGTTCCGAACATACCAGTCAACCACGTCTCTAGCCCCTAGCAGCCCACTCGTACGTGACACGGTGAATGTGGGAACAAACTCGGTGCCCGAGAACGCATTCCCTTCCATGAGTGCCAGATCACCCCGTCCAGTGAGAGATGGTAGAAGTGCGCAGAGATGTGACCTGCAAAGCTCTCAATGGCTGTTTCATTATGTTGTATCACTGCCTGTTCTGAGTCTCTGACTCATATGTGACTGTGTGCCCTGGGAAGGGCAAACCATGTCTTCTGGACTTCTAACTCGCATGTCACCACGTCCTCTGAGCCTTTGACTCACGTATCACCACATGCTCTGGGTCTCTCACATATCATTGCATCCTCTGGGTCTCCGAATCATACGCGACTGCATCATTTGGGTCTCTCACTCACATGTGACCGCGTCGGCGGGGAAGGGCAGGCTGCGCTCCAGACTGATGAGCTGTTTCAGGGGGCGCCAGGCTCGCTTCTTGTTGGCCGTCTTGTTAGTATGCTGTCAATACCACTTCATAATTATTTTTTGTGCACTTACTTAATCTTATCTGGCTGACTTTGAAGCCTGTCAGCATCAGTGGTGAAAGCACATAGCACAGGATGGTTTGGATCATGACAGCTGCTTAAGTTTCAATGTGTGTCATCACTGGAGCTTTACACTTTACACACTGTGTCACCATTGAGGCTATACCCTCAGCTGCTAAGGCTATATGGCATTGCCTGCCCCCAACCCTAGTAAGAAATCAAACTCTGTACTTCTGGTTTCCCAGTCATGCAGAAGTGTCAATGTTAGTGTAATGACTAGTAGTATTCAGCATTTGAGACATACATTAAGGACATCACATCCAGCTCAGCAAGCATGAAAAATGTAAATTCTTGAGCATCTGATGATCACAGGAATGCTCAGGATACACAACTATTACAATATCCATGAAAGAAACCATTGGCTAACTGGTGCAAGGATGTCTTAAAACCACATGCCAGCTTGAACATGCAAATTACATTGTAAGAACTGCAGTATGAATGCAATGCATCACATCAGACCAAAAGGCATTTATTTTTCATAAAGATGATACATCCATCCATAAAAAACTATCCACTCAAATGGGATACCAAGTTTTATGTTTCCCTTCTTACCTTAAAATTTGGATCCTTAAATATAGTGCTAAGTCCAGTCTTGCTATCCACTGAATCAGATGTATAGTTTTCTACACTCTCATTCTCAGTCTTTACAAGAACTTTCATTCTCATGACAATATCAGCATACTGAGTATACTGATATTACTGAGTGTACTGAGTATATCAGCATACTGGGCATACAGATATCTGGCTCTTGTGCATTCCCTGTAACACACAAATTCACATTATCACAGCCACATCTGCAGCATTATTGAAATTTTCTAAAAGATTTGGGGAGGGGAAGGGGCTTGGAATACACATTTGGGAAGGAGAAGGGGGCCCTGGACTTAACCCTTTCTATTATGATCTTATTATTGGAATGGACGTGATATTAGGCTGCAGTTCAAGGTTGCTGGGCCATGGCCCCCTCAAAGAGATATGAAGTTCTGCACATGTCTGCATCCCTCACCACAACAGAAAAGCAAACAACAGTCTAATCTATTGCCAGGATGCAGACATCATATAAATGTTAGAAACAGCTTTATTTGAGGAAACTTATATGGAAACCTGTGATGACCAGAGCAAAAATATAGGAAAAAATGATGTCCTGGCTATTTCTTATAACAATTGTGACAAACTTATATTTGTTGTACTATGAAACATTCACACTATTTTACTTCACTTTGAGGCATTTTAACCCAGTGTGTACTACTTTTGTTAGAAGTATGGTCAGGTTTGATGGAATGATCAAGATCACTTCTTTTCACTTTTTGTGTCCACATCACACTCTCTTCAATCACTATGAGAAGCAAGGGTGTACTTCACCACCCCATTGAAGAGAGGAAGGCCATCAAGGCATTGTGGAAGCTGTCACTGCCATCAACATTCTGACCACCTGGGCCTCCACAGCAGACATTTTGACTGCCATCAATAGTCTGACCATTTGGGCTTCCATGGCTAAGACATTCTGTCTGATCCAACAACTCATTCATTGAGATATGGACCATTACAAGTCAACTCAATACTAAGGTAGAGCCATGGGTTTAATTTAATAGTATGGATGTAGTGATATGGATGAAATGATCTTATCAACTTGTACTCCAGACCAACATCACAGCCATATAAGGCAGGGTACTGAATGATGAAATGCTACATACACTTCTCAGATGTCATCATATCTTTTAACCTACACATCCTTGAAAAATATTTATACAGACCGTCAATCACAGAAAGACCACCTGAATGTGAAAACCTAGGATGGAACCATGTGTTTAATTGTAAAAAAGTCCTGTCCAGCCAAATTCATGGAAGAAAGCAATGGCATAGCATGCACCAATGGTTACGTTTTCCTTCCAACCAATATACACTCCAATATATCTTCCACAAATCAGATGAAAAGATATTACCAACATAGTATTATGTTTCACCCAGCACACCAACTGGTCATCACACAAGCTACATTGACCATGTCCGACATAACACACACCCCAGCAACAATTTCACTGCATACATACAGTAAGCCCCAGCATACCGAGTTTAGCGCATGGCCGCCACCTGCACCAGTGCATAGAGCCGACATTCAAAAAAGCAATGGCATTTCAACGGCGAATTTAGGCCAAAATACCCGGGATGCATTTCTGAAAGCCGATCAAATTTTCCCATTTGACATAATCTCACCGAGCCTGAATTCAGCGTTTGCAGAAGCAAGTTTCGGCACACCAACTTCAAGTCGACGTCCAGCGCAGTAGATGGATCTTGGTCGAATAGCCCCGTGGATACCACCAACTGCCAATACGCTAGAGGCGAAAATGGGCTTTTTTTTACTTGGGTACCTGTATTGCCGACGGTGGGGAGAGAGCTACGCTGGCTGCAGGTTCCTGTACTGCCATGATGGAGAAATGCTGTTAGGTATCAGCCGACGTAGTGACGTCACTGAAAATGGGTTTGCATCGATCTGGGGTTCTTTTGGGGCCGACTGAAGGCTACAAGGCATTTGCTAGCGATATGATGTCACTGGTATTCGACTGGATATGTGACGTCACTGGTTGTGAGGCTTAGGGCTCGTTTGGGTGCAATGAATGCCGTAAAGCATCACCTGACGATATGTCGTCGCTGGTATTCAATGAAACATCAGGCGCAACGGGCCTTATTCCATCTTTACCTTTCGTACCTGTCTGCTGCAAGCATTTGCGTGCCGATAAAAGCTTGACCGAATCACCTGAATGTGTGACGTCACCAATCACCACTTGATACGAGTGCACTAGGCCCCACGGCCGCGGTGTATCATGTTCCGTGAAATATCACTGGGTATCGTGACGTCAGTGATATTCGACTAAATATTGGTCGCAACAGGTCAAGGTTCATTTTTAGCTTCGTACCTGTCTACTGCAAGCACTGGCGTGATGAATAAAAGCTACCAAATCACGTGAGTGTGTGACGTCACTGGTCATGCATTTTTATGGATCTTTGGGGGGCCAACTGAGGGCCGTAAAGCATAGCCTAATGATGTGACGTCACTGGCATTCGACTGTGTGTGATGTCACTTGTGATCAGATTTTACGGCCTCTTTTGGGCCGACGAAAGGTCATACTACATTAACTGAAGATGTGGCCGTCACTGGTATCCGAATACAATTCAGGCGGCCATGGCCATGCTCCATCTTTACCTTTGGTACCTGTCCATTGCAAGTATTTGAATGCTGAAGGAAGGGTCTGCCGAATTACCTGAGTGTGTAACGTCACTAACCATTAATTTGTATAGACTGTTTTGAACCCACTGTAAGCCATACCACATCAGCTGACCATATGACGTCACCGGTTTTCGTCTAGGTGTCATGCGCAACAGGCCATGCTCTATTTTTTGCCTTCGTACCTGTTTACCTGCAAGCATTCGCGTGCTATATCAAGGTGATGCTGAACCATCTGAGTGCGTGACGTCACTGGTCATGAGTTATACAGGCTCACTTGGGCAGCCCAATGCAACAAAGCATCATATCCTGTAAAGCATCGCGGGATGATATGACGGCACTGGTATTCGACTCAACATCAGGCTCAACAGGCCATGTTCCATCTTATTACCTTTCGTACCTGTCTACTGCAAGCATTCGCGTGTTATATCACGTCCATTGGTTAAGAGTTCTTACGGGCTCTTTTCAACCCCCTATATGGTATAATGCTTCAGTTGACGATATGATGTCACTGGTGTTCGACTTAGCATCAGGCACAACATGTCATTTTCATCTTTGCCTTTCGCACCCTGTTAAAGTATTGGCGAGCCTAATGATGGCTCTGCCGAATCACCTGAGTGGCGTCATCATGAGTTTTATTACAGGCTATTGTTGGCCGGGAAAGCCATTAGGCATCATCTAACGATATGTCGTCACTGGTAATCCCACTAAGTGTGTGACGACCGTTGGTCATGAGTTTTCCCGCGCCTTTTTGGGCCGATTAAGGCCATTGGGCATCAGGTAACGATATGACGTCACTGGGTATTCAATTAAGCATCAGATACAATATGTCATGTTTCATCTTTACCTTCCGCACCTATCTACTGCAAGTATTCGCGGCGCCACATAAAGGCTCTGCCCAATCACCTGAGGCGTGTGGTGTGACTGGTTATGAGGTTAACAGCGGGTTTACCCGGGCTGACTGAAGGACATCAAGCATCATCTGGCGATGTGACGTCACTGGTATTCAACTTAACACCAGGCGCGACAGGCCATGTTCGTCTTTACCTTTCGTACCTGTCTATTGTAAGCATTGACATGCTTAAGGAAAGCTCTGTGAAATCTCCTGAGTGTGTAATGTCACTGGTCATGAGTTCTTCTACGGGCTGCTTTTTTGTACCTATAGGGTACAAGACATCAGTTTGACGATATGACATCACTGGTATTTGACTTAATCTCAGGCGCAACAGGTCATGTTCCATCTTTGCCTTTCGCACCTCTATACTGCAAGTATTCGCGCCGCTAACAGAAAGGCTCTGCCGAATCACCTGAGCATGTGGTGTAACTGGTCATGAGTTTACGGCGGGCTTACTCGGGCTGACTGAAGGACTCAAGCATCACCTGACCATATGACGTCACTGATATTCGGGGCTGTGGCCCAGACTTATGGGCCGCTAGGCGGCGCCCTTTGATTATTATTTAGCCATCAGGGCATTCCGGACCGTAGCTGCTCATGGGCGCATCCTGTGATAGTCGGGCGGAATAGCTTTGCATATGCGTCGGTTTGTGGGCTGGGGATCACCTTTGTTTTGTGTTAACGTTTGTTCAAAATTTTAGTCGTTGAAACAGTCCCGTTGCGTTTGAAGTCTGTTACTTAATGGTGCGCACAATAAAATTAGTGTGCTTAACTATGGTGCATCTCCCACCTCTGCTGCTGGGAACTCCGTAGCCGTAGGTGGCCAAGTGACCTCCTACAACTGATGATCCTAGTACGTCACATACTCAGATTGATTCGGCGGAGCCTTCATATAGCACGCGAATATTTGTAGCAGCCAGGTACGAAAGGCAAATATGGAGCATGACCTGTTGGCGCCTGATGTTTAGTCGAGCACCAGTAACGTCATGTCGTCAGCTGATTAATTTTATAAACCTAAAATGGGTTCAAAGGAGCCCGTAAAAAACCTCGTGACCAGTGACGTCACACACTCAGGAGATTCGACGGAGCCTTTCATTCAGCACGTCAATACCTTTAATAAACAAGTACAAAAGGTAAAGAAAGTACGTGGCATGTTGGACCTGATGTTACGTCGAATAACAGTGACGACATATCATCCTGTGATGCTTCACGGGAGGTGTTGCTTTGTAGCCTTGGGCGGCCCAAGTGAATCCGTATGAACTCATGACCAGCGACGTCACCCACTCAGATGATTCGTCTGGAGTTTAGTCGATTACCAGTGACGTCATATCGTCAGCTGATGCTTGATGTCCGTCAGTCAGCCCGAGTAAACCGCACAAACTCATGGCCAGTTACACCACACGCTCAGGCGAATCGACAGAGCCTTTTGTAGCGCACGAATACTTGCAGTAGGCAGGTGCGAAAGGTAAAGATGAAACATGGCTTATTGCAACTGATGTTAATTCGAATACAAGTGACGCCATAACGTTATCTGATGCCTAATGACCTGAACTCGGCCAAAAAAAGGGCCCGTAAAAGCTCAATGACCAGTGACGTCACACACTCAGTGGATTACCAGTGACGTCATTTCGTTAGCTAATGCCTTATGGCTTTCGCTCAAGCCAAAATAGTTGGTAAAAATTCATGACCAGTGACGTCGCACACTCAGGTGACTCGGCAGAGCCATCATTTAACGCACCAATACTTTACAGGTACGAAAGGCAAAGATGGAACATGACCTGTTACGCCTCATGTTAAGTCGAACACCATTGACATCATGTCGTCAACTGATGCATTTTTTCCCTATAGAGGGTTCCGAGGAGCCAGAAAAACTCATGACCAGTAACGTTACACACCCAGGAGACTCGACAGAGCCTTCATTCAGCACGTCAATACTTGTAATAGACGGGTACGAAAGGTAAAGATAGAACATGGCCTGTCGCGCCTGATGTTAAGTCGGACACCAGTGACGTCATATCATCAGCTGATGCATTATACCGTTTGGGGGTACAAAAGGTCCCGTAAAAGCTCTTGACCAGTGACGTTACTTACTCAGGAGACTCGACAGAGCCTTCACTCAGCACGCCCATACTTCCAAGAGACAGGTACGAAAGGTAAAGATGGAACATGGCCTGTCGCGCCTGAAGTTTAGTCGAATACCAGTGACGTCATATCGTTAGCTGATGCTTGATGTCCTTCAGTCAGCCAGAGTAAACCCGCGTTAACTCATAACTAGTTACACCACACGCTCAGGTAATTCGGCAGAGCCCCTGTGTCGCGCGAATACTTGCAGTAGATAGGTGCGAAAGGTACAGACGAAACATGGCTTAGATGGAGCATGGCCTGTTGCGCATGATGTCTAGTCGAAACCCAGTGACATCATATCGTCAGCTGATGCCTTGTGGCCTATAGTAGGCTCAAAAGAGTGTGCAAATTAATGGTCAGTGACGTACACACTTAGGTAATTTGGGCAGAGCCTTCCACGGCAATGCTTGCAATGGACAGGTACCAAAGATAAAGGTGGAACATGGTCTGTCGCGCCCCGAAGTTCATTCGAATACCAGTGACGTCACATCTTCAGTCATTGCCGTATGACCTTCGTCGTCGCCCCAAAAGAGGCCGTAAAACCTCATGACCAGCGACACGCACAGTCGAGTGCCAGCGACGTCACATCGTTAGCTGATGCTTTATGGTCTTCAGTTGGCCGCACAAAAAATCCGCCAATACTTGCAGCAGACATGTACGAAAGGTATAAATGGAGCATGGCCTGTTGCCTGATGTTCAGCCAAATACCAGTGACGTCATATCGCCAGCTGATGCCTAACGGCATTTCGTCGGTCCTATAGGGCCCGTGGAAACCCACGGCCATTGACGTCTTACAGTCGTATAGCAGTGACGTCGTTAGCTGACATCTTGTGGTCTTCAGTTGGCCGAAAAGCACCGTTGGAACTCATGGCCAGTGATGTCACACACTCAGGTGGTTCGGCAGCTTTCATCCAGCACGCCAATGCTTGCAGTAGACAAGTACAAAGGTAAAAATGAAGCACGGCCTGTTGCGCCCAGTTTTTATTCGAATACCAGTGACGTCACGCTATCCGGTGATACTTCGCGGACCACGACACACCGTGGTCGTGAGGCCTAAGTGCACTCGTATGAAGTGATGATTAGGGACGTCACACATTGGGGGTAATTCGGTCAAACCTTATGCGGCACGCAAATGCTTGCGGCAGACAGGTACGAAAAGTAAAGATGGAACGAGGCCGGCCGCGCCTGATGTTCAATCGAATACCAGTGACGACACATGGCCAGCTGATGCATTACGGCATTCAGTGGACCCAAAAGAGCCTTATACACTCACGACCAGTGACGTCACATACTCAGCCGAATACCAGTGACACCATATCACAAGCAAAAGCCTTATGGCCTTCAGTCGGCCTGAGAGAACCCCGATCCCGATCGATGCAAAACCACTTTCAGTGACGTCACAATGTTAGCTGATGCCTCACAGCTTTTGCCCCGCACGACAATACTCGAAAACCCTGCAGCTAGCGTAGCTCTTCTCCCTCCGTCGGCCATACAGGTACCCAAGTAAAAAATTACCCGAAAATGTTGGGGAACGCAACTGTGAACACTCAAATGCACCCAAAACCATGGCAATGGTAATTCATTTGTTTACCATGTAGTTTCTAACTGCGATATTCTATTATCATACCACTCTGACAACAATATGCGGGCGCTTGGCGAGCGCTCTGGATGCCTGTCGATGGGAATTCCTTTTTTAGTGACTTTAATTTACGTTCCTCGCCATGAGACGAAAGCGGGGCTTCGTAACTTATCCCGCTCAAAAGCCACCTCATCCTAAATAAGTCAGGTGGCCATTTTAGAGAGGGAAGCACGGGAAAACCAAACATCTGCGATTTTACTTTGATAGTCTTGGTAATACGGAAAATATGGTCAACAAGGACAGTCATTCAAGATCACAATTCATTGCATATATGTGGGAAAAGCCCGTGAGTAAAAACTTCGTACGTTGGGTGCCGGTCCACTACCTTTTCCTGGCATTATTCGAACGTACCGCGGAGCTAAGTGGCGAATCCCGTCATCCCGTCAGATCTCCGTACCCAACGGCGAGATCAGATCAATCATGAAGTCCAGGACAAGTTCGGTTAAGACAGGATCATTGTCGCCTAGCAGGGTTTGGAGGGGGCGGGGTGGTGTGTTAACAAGTGATTCGTGATATAGCGGCGTTCCCGAGTAAGAGCAGCGCACCCAGCCAATACGCGTTCAACCGTAAGCTGGACATTACGGGCCTCGCAGACTGGTGGTGCCGAGCGACTGAATAGATGGCTGTGGGTGAGACCAGAATCGCCACATTTCAAACGCACCAAAACCACTCCTCTACATGTTCTCCTGATGATGCGTCGCTCATGCTTGTAGTGTCGGTTTGATTCGACACATGTGGCTGGCAATGGGGACATCCCACTGATCCTGCAAATATGAAGCGAAACGGACTTTAGTTAAGCAAAGAATATCATCTAGTGCCAGAGACACTTCCAGAGGCGTTGGTAGATGGACACATTCGTTTGCAAGGGTGTCGGCGAGTACATTTATCGAGATGCCACAATGTCCCGGCATCCACAGAAAGGTCACATGTTGGTCGGTAGGTAGCGAAAGCATTATATCATGGATGTCATACACTCCCGGGTGGTTGAAATCATCGAGTCGCTAAAGGGCCTGCAGCGATGCCTTGGAGCCTGTGCGTATCGTAGCCTGAGGAATACGTTTGACTCTGATGTATAACAGCGCTCGTTTTATAACGTATACTTCCACAGAGAACACTGTGCTGAAGTCTGGAAGACGTTCGGTGAATCGAAAGAGGACAGACGGCTGCTGCACCAACCTGGCCACCATGAGCAGACCCATCGGTGTGAAAGAAAACGAATTCGGCGTGCGTATTCCGGTACTCCAGGAAGTCAGACTGCACCTCAGCAGGTGACAAGTCTGATTTATTAGATCTAAATAGATACTCTATTGAGATAGCATTGAAAAGCCAGAACGGCTTCAATGGAGGGTTACGAGCAACACGTATGCGTGGAATGCCAAGACCTCGTCGCGTCTGTTTGACAGCGTGGAACAGAAAACACGGCCTCCGCTGATGTCTTCGTGGATGCGGTTTATTGGTTTCAACAACAGCGCATACCGCGCGGTTCATCACATTTGGAGATTTGTAGTAGTAACGAAGCAGCAAGAAGTAACACCAGTCTGCCAGCACTGGCATGTTGGTGCCAGCACGGATGGCGAGAAGTGGGGTCGTGCGGAAGGCCCCTGTGATCAGACGCAGGCAATTTGATTGAATGACTTCCAAGCGTTTGCAAAGGTTTACTGAAATAGTACTGAACATGAAGCTGTTATACTCCAGAGCTGATCGGATGAGACCTATAAAAAGTGCGGTAAGCGTCATTTGGCCTGTCCCTCAGGTATGACCAGCAAGGCACCTAAGGACGTTAAACCGTTTTAAGCAACGATATATGGTATCCTCTTTCTGTGCTTGAAGGGTTAGACATGAGTCCAATGTAATTCCGAGAAGTTTGTGTGACTTGCAGAATGGCATAGGAATACCACAAATTTGTGGGGGTATTCCTTTACCGTCGCACGGTAAGTGGCGGTAAGGGACCTGGTTTGAAAATGAGCATGGCGGACTTTGGAGCGGAAAGAAGTCCTATTCGCGGCACCAATTCACACAACGATCCATTGCTTTTTGTAAGCTGAGAAAGACTCTTATAGTCTCTGTGCGCGCTCCATATAGCAAGATCGCCAGTAAAACAGCGAATTCGGATGCACCCTAGGGTGTTGGGAAGTGTGAGAAAAATATCATTGATGGCGATAAGAAACAGCGTTGGAGAAAGCATACCACCTTGTGGAACACTATGATCCATACTGTGCAAGTCAGATACTGTGGATTGGTAGCGTACACTGAACGAACGGCTCTGTGGGAGATTACAAAGAAAATACGCCAAGTGTCATCTAATGCGAAAAACATGCAACTTGCAGATCACGGTTTCGCGAAGGACTTTGTTAAATGCTGATGTGAGGTCAAGAAACACAGCGACGGTTGGATGTTCTCGATTCCAGTTGGCCTGTATATCTGAAGTGAGACGTATAATGTTTTTTGCTGTACCGTGGTTACTTCGGAATCCACTTTGCAACGCGTCTTACAGCTGATTTGTTTCCAGGAACCATGGCAGGCGTGAACTGAGCATTCGTTCCACGACCTTACGTGCACAATGTGTGAGTGATTTGGACGATATGAGTTCGCGGACAGCTTTTCATTCCCGGGCTTCAGGATTGGAATGACCGTGCTTTGGAGCCATGCGTTCGGGAAAATGTGATTGATCCAGAGATTGTTGATCGCGATTAGAAGTGTTGACAAGTTTAAAGTAGATAGATTGATGAAAAACGAGTAAGGTAGCCGATCTGGGCCAACCGGAGTTTTGTCGCCGCATTTGGTAAGCGACAGTTCGAGTTCACGCATGGTAAAATGAGCATTGTAGGTTTCATCGTGATCAGAGGTTAACTCGAGGGTGGAAGCTCTGTCAGATAACCATCACTCAACACTGGGGGAGTAAATGTTTGAGGATGCCACGAAGGCAAAGTGTTGCGCAAATGTATTGGCGTCCTTACGTGGATCTGTTATAACGTCGTTTTCTCTCGCATGCTGTGAGAAGGCACAAATATAATTTCAGTGAGAGGCAAACGAGCGAACATGTTCCCAAACTTTACTTAATGACGTGAAGTGATTGCGCGTCGAAGCAAAGTCCCGCCACGCCGATTGCTTTTCGCGGCGCAACGTGTCAGAACATGCTTTGCGCATTTTTGCATGCAGTTCTGCATGATGGGCGCAAACGCATTTTTGAAAATCTAAGCGCCTTGCGTCGAAGTGCCTTTCCCCGTTGACAGCACCAGTTCCACCATGAAGCATTTCCAGGCCGACCAGGTCTGGAACGCCCCTGAAATGCTTCGGTGGCGACTGTGTGGACAGCATTGAGAAAATCCGGCACGCCTGCTCTCTAAACGTACGGAACGTGTCGAGTGGCACAGTTATTAAAGCCTACTCAGTCACCACCATTTGTATGTCAGTTCTTTGTGCAAGACGGAGGCAGGGGTGGAGCCGCACGCGTAAGAATGAAATGGACAGGAAAGTGGTCAGAATATGAGAGGTCAGTCGTCACAGTCTTCTGGAACCAAGGAACGACACGGGGTGACTCAATGGACAGGTCTATGGCTGAGGTGATGTGGTAGCTGGAAGTCATAAGCATGTGTGTGTCATCATTGCGGTATACCAGAGAATGTTTGTTTACCACGGTTTCCACCCGGAATCCCCGTGGATACAAATGTTGGCTCCCCCAAAGCGGGTTGTGGGCGTTAGTCACTAAATGTCAGGCAACTGGCAGGCATTTGTGAGAACAGATCGTCAAGAGTGGATTGTGTAATGAGTCGAGAGTTGAGAGGAAAATATGTGGACAATATCAACTCATCATATTGGAAAAGATTCACAGTAACCGCCGCAATGTTAAGCTGGGTTTGAAGAAAGGTCTGTTGCTGGAGAGCCGAGTTCCATACATAACACGCCACGCCACCCCGTCGCGTGTCAGAATTTATGTCATTCTGATAGAGAGTATATCCGGGAACATTAAACTTGTACGGATCTGAGTCACAAACAAGTTTCTTGCAGTGCAGCGACTAGGCGAAAACATTTCTTCATATGCTGTTTAGATTCGGCGCAATGCGACAAAAGACCTCCAGCATTCCACTGAACGTCATTATTTCACGTGATATACTGCGGATCTGGTTAGGCAGGAGAGGAGGGCCCTGGAATAAACGCACGCGTCATTGTGGGCTACGTGCGGCACCCCCGGCTCTTATCCGCATGGGCCGATGCCTTACACAAGCGGAAGTCTCGTCGCTGTATGGGAGGAGTGGGAGGAGAGTCGAGGTCCGTCTGCGGGGATAGCGTCCGTGGAGACCAGACGACCCGGAAAAAAGGAGAAGACTCTACATTGCCGTGTGAACACATTGAGGTGGAGTCATCCGAGCCAACCTCAGACACACCACATGGCCACGGTGGTCTGCTGACACTGGTGACCCAGCCTCACCTCGCATTATAGTATCGGTGTCAGTGGGGTCCTGGCACGCATCCGGAGTGACCTCTGCCACCGCGGAGGCTGTTGGGAATGGACGCCTTGCACCCTCCAGACCACTCTTATGCCCTGTAACCGCTGTCGCCTGAGGTGAAGCCTGAATGACGGCGTTTGCGTCGCCTACGCTCGGTGGAGGTGTTTTGCTCGGGCCAGCTCGGGGCGGCGGTTGGCTAGTGGATGTAGGTGGTGACGGGGTTTTCAGCAGGCCGCTTTTGGCGCCGGCGGCGCTCGTTCCAGACCGGGCACGCACGATCGGTCACCGGGTGCGGGCCCTGGCATGCCGCGTGCGGGGGGTGGCACATTCCTCGGAAGGGTGCCCCGCAGCACAGCGTGCACATCTCTGCGAGCGAGCCCTGCACATGCCTTTGACGTGCCCCTATCGTAAGCACCGATCACAGTGGCGGAGCAGCGGGGTAACATCCAAAGCTCCGGCCACGGAAACCAGAGGTTTCCGCCGCGTGAGAGATGAGCGCTGCGTTGGCTCGCCTGACGC